CCCACCCCCGAGGTCCCCTTGGCATGCTCTGAGCACACGTGCTGTGCTGTCTCTCGGAGGCCCATGCCCATGCCAACACTCGCTCGGGCTGGGGTGACTAGTGCCGCTCGCTCAGGTGGTCCATCCCCTTCCTCTGCTCTGGCTCCCCCTTTCCTGCTGCACCCTCTTGTGTTCTCGATTTGACCTTTCAGTTCCATCAGAACAGCAAAGGCAGAAGCAACTGAGTAGTGTTTATAGATTCGGGGAATCGGAAACCTCACAGCACTTCAGCAGGTTGAGTGCTGAGGCTCCAGAGCAGGGGTGGGGAACGTCTGGCCCACGGGCCATATAAGGCCCAAGAAATCATTTGGTCTGGCCCTGCCAAGTTATTAGGGATGAGTTAATGAAATGCTTGACCAAATATAGGAGGCTAATTTTTAAGTTAATTTTGTATGGCCCACAAATGATGTTATAAATATCCAAATGGCCCTTGGCAGAAAAAGGTTCCCCACCCCTGCTCTAGAATGTAACCTTGGATTCTTCACCGTTTACCTCAAGATCATAAAGATGGTTTTAATTAAATAGACAAAAAGAGAGGGAGATGACCAGGCCTATAAACCGCCCTGCCAGCCCCTCTCCAGTGCTCAGTAGCCCTGCAGCAAATGTGCTCAAGGGAAGACGTGCGGCTGGAAGCAGAAACCCTGACTGTGGGCCGGCCCGTGACGTTTACCAACCCACTGCCCCTTGGGTTTCCCAGAGAGAACAACAGGCATGAGACACTAAAGAGTATTTCAGACGCTATACAGACATAAGCTCGTTAGTGACGGCAGTAACAGGCGAGAGGAGAGGAACTCGGGGACAAACCCTAGGTGGGCCGGAGGGGAAGGAGGCTTGGGGAGCTCATGTGTTCCCTCTCCTCAGCTCCACCAGGTGCTGGTCCAGCTGCAGGCCTGCGAGAAGGAGCAGGACTTCGCTCTGGCTCCCATCCAAGTCTCCATCAGTGTCCAGCTGTGGCGGCTCCCGGGATGTCACGAATTCCTGGCGGCTCTAGGTAGGAAAGACTTATTAATTGGTTTCTTCTGTTTTTGAAAAAGTTTTCTCCTAATTTCTTTTGGGTAAAGTTGGTGGGCTCTCAGGGGTTTTCTATCTCCCTAGAATTTTTATTACTCAAATAGTTACCTCAGAGGTTCTAGTGGTTTAGTACAATTCCCAAAGAGCTCCCCAGCTTTCTCCCACTTCCCGTGTGACTTTTTCTCTCATTTGTGGTCATCATTTTAATAGGAACCTGCTAGATTCAGTACTGTTGGGAGTCATAAAACAATGGTCTTAATACTGGAAACAGGCAGAAAGAAAATACTAGTGAAACCACCTTAGCTTTTACTGTGGGACCTAGAACTGCACATACAGGCCCCTGTTCAATCCAGGTGCTCACTGTCCTTTTTCAACACTGAGGCAGCTCCCAACAGAACTCCCCTTGTGTCTCTGTGCCTTGCTTGGGAGCCATTCACACCAGTGCTTTTTTTCGACTACCCGTCATGTGCCAGCCAGTGTCCTGTGCACTGGAGATGCAGCAGTGAGCAAAGGACAAAAGGCCCTGCCCTCTTAGACAGACAGTAACTACCTCATCTCAGGGAGGCACCTTAAAAGGTGAGGCGCATTGTGACAGAAAAAGCATCACGGTCCTAGTGACTGGCATGGGGGAGGGCAGAAATGGGTTGGGGAGTCTTTGGAGGATGACAGCCTGAATTCACTGTTATAGGGACCAGACATGGCAGGACAGCAGGTCCTTAAAGAAGAGTTTTCTTCTGGTTGTAAGGCCCGGATATTCAGTACTGGGTCATTTTTTCTAACCCATTTTGTAGATGACCTTTCCTAGCCAACCTCAACGTAAGGCTGGCTCCATTGGTTTTTTAAGGTAACAAGGGAAACCCACAAAGCCCCCACCGCACACGTCCCCTGTGAATAGGCATTTTAATGTCCTTTAGGATTTGTATTTCCTTAAAGCAGTCTTCTTGGTGTAAACATAGCACTAAATACAAGTGGTCAGTAGCAAATGGAGCAAGAGTGAGAAAGGCCAGGTCTATACCCAGGACGTATCTCTTTTCACTTCCATGACAGGCTGTAGGCTAGTCTTGGGTAGTGACACAGGTGAGTAAGGAGATGAAGCCAAGACCTTTCTTTATGAAGGAAAAGCTCTTCCGTGCGCAGCCTAAGCCTCCCGTGGGTGTAGGTGTGGTGGAGCCAGGCCTCCTTACCTGTGAACTGGGTTTCAGTGCCCGTTGTCAGGTGTGTCCCTGGCTCTCTGGTGCTGGGATTGTGGGTGATTTTCCTTGATGTTTCTCTACTTCTCTCTGTACTTTCCAAATCCCATTGATACTCAAGGCATGAGTTGGTATGCACATACTTATAATTTCCAGGTCCTGTGGACTGAGATGGGGGGAAGGGGGAATGCGGCGGCTGGGCATCTAGAGAAATGGCTCCCTCATTCTGAGGGCTCCAAGGGTCTGAAAGATGCCCCCTTTCCAGTCCTCAACATGAAACACATGCCATCAAAACCCATCACAGGGCTGTTGGTTCTTTAGAGGACTGAGTTCTATTAGAATCATTTTGGTAAAAGTAGAGGTTTCTAACTAAAATATTACATTTATATTAATTTGTTTTTAAATGCTGAGTTCCTGAGACCTTCCTGTTGCTTTCAGGGACTGTTTATGATTCAGAGAGGAAAATGTCCCCCAGCAAGCAGAATGCTGAGTGACTCTTTGAATAAACCTAATTCCCAAAGGAAAGGCAGTGTCACACCAATATCAGAATCCTTGAGTAAGAATACTACCTAGACACAAATTTCTCCGTTAGTAACTGCTCTCCGTCATGAAGGCACAGCATGCTGGCGGGCAGCACTGTAAATAACAGGTTCCAATCGCTGCAACAGTGAGCTCAGAGGAGGGAAAGGGCCTGATATCACAGGTGCCTGCGTCCGGGACTTCACCACCAAGCGTTTGTGTGGTTAGCAGAGCTCAGTGATCTGCTGAGTGAAGATTCTCGTGCTGAAGGCTCTTCAGGCCCTAAATTCTTGCTTAGCGGTGCCTTTCTGTGGACAGAACCCTTCATCACAGCGTGTTTGGCTTCTTCCTCCTGAGTTCTTCCTGGGGCGATGCACTGGGTGCCTCTGCAGCGTCTCTTAAGAGGTTGGAGTGCTTGTGGCAATAGCTCACTCAAGCCTCTTGCTCAGGAGGCTCATGCTTTTTGTGCCCCAAGTCTCAGGCAAACCCTTAGACTCGGGGAGCAGCCCCTCGTGGGCTTTGGCAGAGTGGAGTCCCTGCAGGGGGTTCAGCCAAGAGAGCAGATTCAGATTCTCCACCATCACAGCTCACTCCAAAGCCCTTGGCAGCAGACACTGACCACGTATGAAGATATCGTCCTTGCTACTGAGAAGCTTCCACCTTCCCACGCACCAGCTCTGCATACTGGACCCAGTGCCAAAGAGTGGCCAGTTTTTGTCCTGGACTGACTCCTTTAAGTGGACTGTTCTACAAAAGAACGGAGAAAACAAATGTTAATGAGCCTTACTAATTCCAGCCCTCAGCTCTCAGGAAGGCAGTACAGGCAGGAAAGCAGCCAATGCTCTATGAAGGGACGCGGGAGCCCCAGGCATGGTGCTTGCGGAGGGGTCTGTGGGGGTTCCCGTGACACTGTATGAGGAGCCCTACAGCTCTCATCCTTTTCAGGATATGGAATCTTCCCTAAGGAAGCAGATGTTTATACTCTTTGTTCCTCTAGGTTTTGATCTCTGTGAAGTTGGTCAAGAGGAAGTAATCCTGAAAACCGGGAAACAAGCCAGTCGAAGAACCATGCACTTTGCACTCCAGTCCTTGCTCGCCCTTTTCGGTAAGAGCTCCGCCCAGCGCCTTTGGGGTCAGACACCAGCACATTTTAGGAAGGGGAAAGAAATGTGAAGAAACATTTTTGTGTGTATGTGTTAGGGACTGTTCAAGAGCAGTAAAGGAACTCCCTGCTCTTATGGAACATGCAATTAAAATACATGCAGTAAATCAGATGAGGTGCTGCCAAGTGCCATGAAGAAAACAAGCAGAGTGTACTGGACTACAAAGCGAAACAGGCCATAGAGCAGACAGAACAGGGAGGAGTGGCACCAGGTCACTCAGGCCTGGGAGGGACACCTGCCTACCTGACCTTTAAAGGGCCAAGCTGGCTGCAGAGTGAAGATCTATTGAAGAATGTCTGTCAGACAGACATCAAAGGTGATACCCTATTTTTGGGAACAACTACCAGAAGGGACTACCTTTTGCTGAAACCTTGAAAGTAGCAGGAAGAATGAGTTTTATCTTGGACGTACTCAGTTTTGTTTTGAATCCTCACCGAAGGATATGTTTTTTATTGATTGGAGAGAGAGAGAAACATTAATTGGTTGCCTCCCATATGCGCACCAACCTGGGATTGAACCGGCAACCTTTTGGTGTACAGAACGATGCTCCAACCAACTGAGCCATCAGGCAGGGCGGACATACTCAGTTTTGAAGTATCCATTAGACACATACATAGGCAGCTGGTTCTAGAGTTTAGAGTTCAAGGAGAGGCTATGGTGGAGATGCATGAGTGCATACAGGTCCGAAGGGAAGAGGACTGTGAACATGCCAGGGTTCAAAGGTCACAAAGATGAGGCGAGGCCTGGGAAGTAGTCATCAGAGAAGGCAGAGTGCCATCGACTGCAGAGCTGAGGAGCGAGCATGGATGTGGTAGCATGGACGTTATTGGTGACCTTTACGAGAACTGGGAGGACAAAAGCCTGAGTGGAGTTGGTTAAGAGAAAGTGGGAGGAGAGGCAGTGCGGAGAGTGACTCCTGAGGAGGCTGCTGGAATGTGCAGTGATGGGGCCAGAGCTAGAGGGATAGGGGGTTTGGTTCTAGGACAGGGGACATCATAGATTGCCTACAGGCCCCAGTCAGGGCAGGAGGCAGATGGGGGCGGGGAGGGGGTCCCCAGAAGAGGGAGCAGAGTAGGGAGTGCATGGTGGTTGCAGCGGGGTCTCCTAAGGTGTTTCTGTCCCTATGTAAGATGTCCTTTCCCCAACAGGACTGTTTTCCAGAATTACAAGATGAGTTCAAGTTGTATATAAGTAGCACTTGTATAATTCTTTACTAGCTTCTATGCATATAAAGATGCTTGTGGTTTTGAAAGAAAAATCAAAACCATATAGAATTCTAACTGCCTTCTGGGTACATACGTTTTGTCTTAGATTCTACTGAGCTGCCCAAGCGCCTCAGCCTTGACAGCTCGTCTTCCCTGGAGTCCCTGGCCTCGGCCCAGTCTGTCTCCAATGCCCTGCCCTTGGGCTACCAGCACCCTCCCTTCTCTCCCACCGGTGCAGAGAGCATCGCTTCGGACGCCATCTCTGTGTACAGTTTGAGCTCCATCGCCTCCTCGATGAGCTTTGTCTCCAAGCCTGAGGGTGGGTCAGAAGGTGGGGGTCCCCGAGGACGGCAGGACTATGACAGGCCCAAGAATGCTTACTCCCAGCGATCCACCCTGCCTCGGAGCCAGCTATCCCCTCAGACCCGCCCTACAGGCAGCAAAGAGGAGGAAGAATATGAAGGGTTTTCCATCATCAGCACTGAGCCTTTGGCAGCCTACCAAGAAAACAGAAAGACACGCTTCTCACCAGATTACAAACAGTCCCGAGTAGGGACAGCTGGAGGTGTGAAAGTTTCTATAAGCTCCAAGGGGAGCATAAGCACTCCAAATTCTCCAGTTAAAATGACTCTGATTCCCAGCCCAAACTCACCCTTCCAAAAGGTTGGGAAACTAGCAAGTTCAGATACGGGAGAATCAGACCAGTCTAGCACAGAAACAGATAGCACTGTGAAATCCCAAGAAGAAAGCAACCCAAAGCTGGATCCACAAGAGTTGGCCCAGAAAATTCTAGAGGAGACACAAAGTCATCTTATTGCAGTGGAACGTCTTCAGAGGGGTGGCAGTCAGACCAGCAAGAATAACAACCCAGAAGATGGCATTTCCATGCCAAATAGCACTGCCGTCTT